GCAGCCCTCTGGAATGCTCTCGCACTTCAGCACAAGCGCAGTGTAAACCCCGCGAGACTTGCTCTTGGCACGGCAAGGCACTTTGCACCTTGAGGCTGCGCATCTTTCCTGAGCTCGCGGACATCAGGGAACGTCGATGTGCATCGATGCGATGAGGCAGGCACAGCGGATTACTAGAAGGGTAAGAAAAGGCTGTAGCCTTGCGTACTCCACGTTAATCTTTGAATATTTATGCATGCATACCCTGATTCATCCATGCAGTTGCATGTGTCAAACTTGTTGCTGCGTCTTCTCTTTTGATTGATGCTGTCGTTTAGACGATGTCGTTTTCCGAAAGCTGTCGGTTGGGCCTGAGCCAAGGCACCAAGGAGGGGCAGGGAGGTCTTCTCCAGCACGCTGCTCGGCGGCTGCGCTCGCTTCTTTGGTGGATCCAGGATGGCTGTCACCAGCGGGTGCTCTGGCGGGACACCTTCAAGACCCTCCAATTTGGAAAACATGGCCAGTTTGTCTGCACTCAGGGAACTTGCCTTTGCAAAGATGTAGTCGGCTGCTCATGACCTTCTCCACAAATGACTCGAAGTTCTGTCGAAATGAATACGGCAAGTGCCGCATCTTCGCCCGGCGTATTCGGTAAACCTGGGAGCGTGAATAGCCAGAAACACTCCGACTGCTTACATTGATTTGAACTGTGTGGACATATCTGCCTTGCAAGGTGTGGAGGCCACAGCTGCTGTGAACTCCTCTTCGACTTTGGTAAAGGACGATGCAAAACAGGCACCCTCCTGAGCCGAGAAGGACCGTGGACCGTTGTGGGGCAAAGAGTAAAGAGCACCAACAGCACCTGAAGGAGGCACATCCGGTGCAGCCCCGCCCGCTGCACCGCCTCACAGGAGACACAGAGAGCGGGTGCTACGTCGCTGCGCTTCTCGGTGCCTTGTGGGTGCCCGGTTTTCGGCAGAGGAGCTCCACGGCTCCGCTGCGAATGAAATAAATGGAACCATCTCCTGCCATTTCGTCAACGTCAGCGTCACCGCATGTCACCGCGAAGAAGTGCCCTTCTCTCCGCTCGTGCGTCTCCGGCAATGATCTTTCATGTTTTAGATGCCGTCCCATGATGTCCCTTTCAGCACTTGTCCTGCACCGCCCTCCTGGAAGAAGACGTGATTCAAAGCGAAGTTCTGCTCCTCGAAGCCTCGCTTCCACGGAAGCGTCTCAGAAGCTGTGAAAATCCGGAATGACTACCGATACGCCTTAATGCTGAAAAACCTAGCACATGCAAAGATGCAAAAACGTAGATGCCCATGAGCAGCCGCATACAGGCATCATCACGCATCAAGCTGCGCAACAAGTATCAACAAGTATCTTAACCACAAGAGTTAGTCAGAGAGTTGCCTGAAAACACACATCCACTTAAAGCAAGCATCTATAGAGCGAGGGCGCGCACACTTGCCATGCAGATCAAAGGCAGATCAACGAAGACACAATCAGACCTAAGCAAGATGATTAAAATGCAGGGCACGCAAGAAAGTGCAACAGCAGCTGTAAGAGGCCTAAAACAGCACATGCAGTGATCAATTACACCACGTGCAACACCCTGTCATCCGCAGCCTCTCCGAAAGCACGTGCATGCTTGATCGCTATCACACACGCCTTCGCTTGTTCATGTGCACGCGCAATCGCAGGGTGCTTGCGCATGTGTACACATGCCTGTCTATGTGATGGTGAATGTCTGCTGATCGTGCACACATGTATATATTTGAATGTGTTTACATGCATATATATATATATATATATATATCTTTGTATATATATATACAGACAAATAAACGGAGCGAGAAAGGAAACAGGAGAGACAGATATAGAGCATTATAGCTAGAAGCAGAATACCGCAAGACCAACGTGTAGCATTGGACAACACAACTGCTTTCACCCAGTTCGTCATATATCCCTGATAAGCTGATAAGCACGCAGCTTTTTCCCAATGGCCAGCCAATGGCTTTCGCATCGGTGGCGTGGTCTGCGATCTCGGACTTCATTCGAAGTCATGAACGGGCATCTCGCATTTCTTACAGACATGTTTCTTTTGAGATCTCGGGGGACCGACCGTTTCCCGGTCAGTGCTCGCAGACTGAAAGCAAAAGAAAAATCGGAGACAACTAAGGGGGTCGGATGCAAATCCATGATTCACGACCAACCTGCTCCGTTCCCGTATGCCGGGAATTACAAGCTTGATTAAGCATGAACTCTCAAGCCCTGGCACTTGGGAATCCCTTCATCACAACAAACATGAACAAAGCTGGGAACTGATTGATTGATGGATTGATTGACCGCCTGCGGGTGCGAAAACCCTTGTACTTGCAACGCAAGAGAGGCTACTCCGTGCTGCACACACAGACAGCCGTTACACACTCGAAGACAACGGGCCAGAGCTGGGGCGCAGCTCCGCACAGAACAAATGACAGGACACGGCATGTACAACACTGTCTTCTTTCGCAAGGGTAAGAGGTGAGTGAGCGATCCTCACCCCCGCGCTCCAGCCCCAAAAGGTACTGAGAGCAACAAGGCCGCACATTATCTCTGTCTCTGCTCACTAGCGGTTCGCGACAAGCGATTGCACACGGCATTGAAGGGTCAAACAACGCACGAAATGGCCCTGAGACTCTCCTTTGCCCAGGCGCAATACAAGGCTGCATGCTCGGCGTCTTTCGATAAGCTTCGCAGCGGAGGAGCCTGACTTTCCAGCAGACAGCTCCACAAGCTTTCCACTGGTGTTTAGTCAAGCTGCCGCCAATCTGAGGAAGGCCAACCTGTCATCTAGGTCGTCGATGAGAGCGCACCTCGCAGGCCCGAGGCAGGATCACACAATACTCAAATACACTCAAGGGGCTCAGCTGCGAACTGGCAATTCAGAAAATCCGCTCGTTGCATCGTCAGGAACTTGCCTCGGCCGGCTTGCAGTGCATTGCTATACCAGCCAAAGGCAAGATCCAGCTGAACTCAGCGAAGCAACATGCTGTTTGGCAAACCTGAGGTGTACGAAGCACAAGTCACGGCAGTCGCAGTCAGGGCAGCGCTGCAGAGAAGCCAGGAGACAGCCGTTGCCATGCGAGTTCGGTCGTCGACGATCGCCAGCTCGCCCAGCAACCTCACCAATTTAATGCGGCAAGAAGAGTACCCGAATTACCCGTTTACCCCTCCGAGTCCTGCCAGGGCCCAGCGTGGCCAGGGCCATGCCACGTTGCTCTTCTTGAGCTGTTTCGCGGCAGTCGGGGAGATCTGGCATCCCCTCCACTGCCGCCAGCAGGGCACACATCCTGGGTTTTTTTTTTTTTTTTGAACGGCCCTTTTCCTCAGGATGTGTTTGACGGCCGGAGCCTGGAAAATGCTCAAACCGCATCTGCCTGTGCTGGTCCGGCCAGGCAGCGCCATGGCTTCGCGGGATGCTGTGCCCAAGGTCTCCTCTTCCTCCTCCTCGTCCTGGCAATGGACACCTGTACCCTACTGTGAAGACCGAAATGTGGCAAGTGCAGCAACTGCAAAGCGGTCCTCTGGAGCATCCTCGGAAGGGCCATCCTTGGCCTGAGAGTGACGCGGGCCAGGACGGAAAAACACGCTTGGCTCGAGCCGGGCATCGGACATCTGGAGGCACCTTGCTTGAGTTTGCTCGGTTATACTTCTCTTTCATCGACCTGCAGAACTTATTAGGCATTGAGACCACGGGCAGGCCGAATCCAACAAGACCTCGGCGACAAGTCATCCTTCCGTTGAGACTTCCAGATAGTCACCTCGCCCGACAAGATGATGTAGCACAGTCCTTTGCAAAACACATACTGGCGTCTCAACCCCGTGTGCCGCGTTCCACTTCACGGCAACCCTTGACGCCTGCTTGTGCAGATTCTCATAGGAAGGGCTGTCCGCACTGCGCAGCAACCAGCCCCAATTCAGCAAACCAACAACCGAGGGGCGCGGCGCATCGCCCTCGTAGAACAAGACCTGGCAGCTTGCATCTCTCACCTTCTGCCACGGCACAGCAACAGCAGATCGGATGAATGCGAAAGTTCTCGGGCCAAGGCCGTGCCAGCCTCAGCCCTTCCGAAGGACAACAGCGACGGCAGACGCTCCTGAATCTTCGCCTGGAAGTAATGCTGCAGCGCTCTTTTTCAACGCTCACGGTGAGTACTTAGTACTTGGCTGAATATATCGCGTCGAGAAGGCTTTTCTCATCTTTGCTCTGCATCAAGGCCCGCCAAATCAAAAATCGAAGAACAACTCTCGAACCCCGTGAGTCCTCCAAGTTACGGAAAAAGCTGAACTCCTGCAGCAGGGAATGCCTGAGCAGTTCCACAACATCAACAGTTGTTTTGAAGCTGTGTTTCCGCAGAAGCCGGGACTTCTGCTCGAGATTGCATGCACAACTACACGAATCCGACCCAGCCAAGCAGCAGCTGAGACTTGATATGCCTCGGGCATGGCTATGCGTGTGAAGCGGCAAGGATTTCTGAGGCTTGCGACTGCCAAGGCACCCGTCCGTGGTCAGCGCCCAGCTTTCCATGGCAGGGCGCTTCCGAAGGAGTTAGGGCTCGGCTTGTCCAGTTCCTTACGTTGTTCTTAGTCCCGCATGGCAGACTCCGCCATTGCTGTCCACACCCGACCGCCAAGCTAAAAGATTTCTGTCTTTTACTGAGCTACGTTCACCTGGGGCTCGAGAGTTCCCCTTATCAGAGCCCGCTGTCAGGGAAGTGTTGAAACAGCACTCCGGCAGGCAGCCCCAGAGGCCCCCAGTACTACAACACTCTCCTGGCATGCCCCTTGCTCCATGAATGCCGCTGACGATGTCACTTCGAGAAAGATGCAGTTGCTCGAGAAGCTCGCCAACACTGTCCTGCATCGAGCCAGTCTTTGGGCCCAATGGCAACCTTACAGAACTCAAGGTCAAAACGCTCTCAGCCCCCCCTCCCCCACCCACTCCCCAACCCCCCCCGCCTCCAGCAAGGTGCTTGTCAGGGGCTCTCGTAGTCTCCCGGATAGCACTCGGGAGGCGGCCTCGCTTTCTCAGCTTTCGAGACTTCTGCGCCTGCTTTTTCTCGAGAGACTTCCAACTGTCAGTCGTTGTAACTCAGGACTCCGGTATGACTTACAACCTACTTCTCTTGACTTCGCTGCAAGGGGTCTAAGTTGTGATACCGGGGATATCCATAGTCCTTTCACCTGTGCTTGCCAGTGTTGGAGAATTGCAATCACTGATCAGTAAAGCTCTATGTCGTGAACCGGTTAGGCTGATCAGCTTCTGCGGTCATTCCAAAAGCTCGGAGCTCTGAAAGTACTGAATTTCTTAGTGTCAAGAGCCATCGCCGAACATAAGAACACATACAACATCAGGAAACCATGCAGCATGCACACGCTTCATGTGTCAAAAACCGTGTGGGCTTGCATCCGAAGAAGACGGAGGCTCAACAAGCGGATGGTGCGGGATGCTGAGCCGACAACATGCAGGCCAAGTGCTGAAGCTAGCGAATTATGCAATAACAACTGGACCGCCGCAGCGGCGGAACACAAAATGGGTCCGGTCCGGAAGCATTCGACGGCACCACAAGCCACCCCTCTGCTGCAGAAGCACAAGGATCAAACTTGCCTTGCCACGCCCCGGGCCCGCCGGTCTTCACCACAATACAGGCCCAAGCCGCTGTGGTGTCCGAATACATGTTGAGGATGTTGCAAAATTGGCATGATTTGCAACACTGTTGTTGGATCTAGGTTGGGAGGGCTTCCTGCACCCGGAAAAGCGACTCCGGCGAAAGGACTGTCTAGATTCCAGATTTGATGATGCCCGTATGGCGTGTTGCACGTGACAAAGCTGGTACTTCCGATTTCCTGTGGATGCATGTGACATTTGCCGTGACGCATGTGTTCTTCATGTTGTGCCTCTTATTCAGAGGAGTAATAACCAGGAACGATCGGCAACAAGCGAGGGAAAACAAGAGAAATGAAACAAAACAGAATGACAGGCAACAAAACAGGCAGGGTATAACAAGCAGTCAAAGAGCCAAGAAGCAACGTCTGGAAGTACCGTCATCATCATCGAACACCACCACCACCATCTGGCAGCGTTCATAACAACAGCATCATGATAATCGTCCGTATCACCGTGTATTTGTCGTTGTTTTCTCAATATGGTCCTGTCCATCATGGTCGCCACAATCACCGCCATCAGGTTATCATAGTTGTCATCATCAGCAGCAGCGGCAGTGCAGCATCCAAGCGCACAGGGTGCCATGGTGCAGGGACTCTCACAACATCGTAAGCCAGTGGCGCATCGCACGGAGGTGATGACCCGCCACCGGGAAAAGGCCTCATCTGATAGTCTACTTCAGCGTGTGCCTTTGACGCAAAGTGGCGCATCACCTGTCAATACTGCGATATGTCGATATGTACGATATCACGACTTCCGGCACAAGTCAGATTCCAGCCCAGCAACGTCAGAAAATCATCTACATCACAGTCGCCAGATTCCTCCGAACAGGGAAAAGCCCCAAGTCCGTGCACGCATCTGGCCGTTGCCATCGAAAGACCCTCAGTCCCGATCCAGTGACCTGACCTGGTACCCGTCCATGTCTCCAAAGTCGGTGCTTTCGCCGAGGATGTACTCATCCATCATGGCATCCAAACCCCACACATGTTCCTCGGCATGTCGATGCCAGGACGGCATGTTCCGGAGCATGAAATGCTGCCACGGAACGTAATATGCCTGCCAAGACTGAAACTTGCCCATGAAGTCGTCCACCTCCGGAATCGACTCGCGTGATCCGCACGCGCATCCCGAATCTGAAGCACTGCACAACGAGAAAACCGGTGGGCATCCTTCAACTGCGCCCACCCTCTGGAAGCCGGAATGGAATGACTCCGACAGTCTAGCAAGAACCCCAGGTAAGCCGCCGTGCCGCCGTGGCCATGGTCTGGATGTCGGAATCCTCTGCCTCCTCGCTCTTAGGGCTGAAGCAGACCATGCTGCCTGAGGCATCACGGCTGCACAACGGCTTGGGGTGTCTTGGTCCGAGGCCTTTGGACGGTGTGACAGTGGGACTGCATGATACTCGCGCCTGGCTCAACTTGAAAGCACCGGCCACGCTCGCGCAGCAACCAAGAGGAGAGCGCATGATCTACCTGAGCAAGTCCATCGAGCACCCCCAGAAAAAGAAACAGACACTATCTCCAGCACACATCACCACCAACAGAACATCCCAGCAAAAACTCACACAGAGTGCCAAGCCTGGCCCCCGATGGGAAAAGCATTGGCCAAGAGCGCCTGGCAGCATGCAGGGTTCACAGAAAACCTAGGTCCCTGGACCCTGGGCTGCATCGCAAGCACCAGCAGCTTCTGGTGCCTATTAACGGCTTTCCAATACTGCGTGAGTTCCCACATTCCGAAAGCCGTGCGGCATCTTCTCAAGCAAGTGTGGCTTGACCTACGGCCTTCTTGACTGCCTGTCAGTCTACACGGTACTGTATGTGCCATCGGTTCCGTACGATTCTAAGTTCAGGTTTGCCACTAACTACTACAAGGATCTACATGTTGGTACATGTTGGTGCTTCACTTCCACTATGATTGAATATGATCCTTTTGAGTCCGTGAGTGCACTGCCGCAGGCTCGGTCGCACTTCAGCAGATTTGATTCCATGCTGTCTAAAACGAAGGGAACTGGTTGAAGAATCTGTGCAATTGGAAGAATCATAAACCATGCCGTGGGGAAAATCAAACACGCCCCGATAAGTTCTGGGACGTGTACTGCGACAGTTCCTGCAGCATACCTCCGGACTGTTGGAGCAGGGTTCTGTGGCTATGCCGCCGAAGTGCTGAAATCTGCTGAAGGTCATGCTCCATATCAGCCAGCAACACTCACGACGTATCGCAGGCTGGCATTTGACTCACGCCTACGGACATATACAGGCAAACACGTATGCAAACAAACGCACAAATTCCTCAATCGCAACCGAACCACAGCGCAATGACCGTCAGTCTAGCTCAACATGTGGGTGCAAGGCAGTTATGGTTGCACCTTTAGCAGCTGCTAGTGGAACCAGAACCGGAAGATTTGCCCACATGCTCTCAGATAGATGCATGCGTATGTGTACATTGGATTTGTGCAAATGAACACCAATGCGCCATGCATCCTGGCATATTTTCCGTATACAGTTGTGGCCTCGGCCGCTTCACGCCGCACGGCCCAGGCGAACAAGCCAAAGCACGGCTCACGCAGAGGCCGCACTGGCACCTTTCCAGAGCTGCAAGACGCGACAGGATATATCACACATGCATGCGATTTGTTGATATGCTTCAAACACCGACATGAAACAAGGACAAGGAGACGTGATATGCGACACTGATGACGGTGGCTACACCTGCACTTGTATTGGTGTGATTTGCGAGGGATGTCGAGCTTGATGTGAAAATACCTAATTAAAAGCATCGGCGAAAAACTACTATCTGGGTTTTAGACGGTGTGTGCACGTGTGCATGCGCTCTCGGATACATACATGCACGCACAGCTTCGTAGATGCCTGTATGTCCATGTGTGCATATGCATGCATGCATGTATACGTACGTACATACAGACTTTCTTACATACGTTGTTACATGCATACAAACGTACCTGCATACATGCACACCGGCAAACAGGCATACATGTGTACATGTATACATGCACACAGGCATACATGAATGCATGTTTACATGCATACATTGCAGGCATACATACGTGCATACGCATGCGCACAATGAACAACAAACAAGCATACATACAAACGTACAACCATACGTGCGTGCGTACGTACGTAGTCATCCAGAAACATATGCACGCATACGACTAGACGCGCATGCATGCATGCATACATACATACGCATGTATACACGCATGCATAGATACAAAGCACACGTGGCTAAACACATGCATACATGCATACAGAAACATGTGTATGTATATCGTTGAAGTGGTTCCGGATGACTTGGACATGTTGCGACGCTCAAGCAACACACGTACATACACACCTACCTACCTACATGTGTACATACATGCGCACCCATACCTACTTTCATAATTACACGGAGGGACGAGCACACGTACAACAAAAACGAACGTGGAGACGACGACCATATCAAACTCCTATGCCCTCAAGCAAAGATCGCTGCGCTTGGCAGACGCCCGCAACGAAGAGCACGTGAGCATGCATGCTCGAACGGGTACAGCCCGTCTCATGCTGTGCCACATGAACCGCAAGAGACTGTCATCAAACATCAAGTCCAAGTCGCCGTTCCGAGACTGCAAGCATTGCAACCATGTGCGCGTCAAGGGCAGAAACAGGGGGCAAGTACAAAGGGCATGGATCAGGCACCAATCAGCAGACCCACATTGGCAGGCGAAGGTTGCGATGACGGGCAACACGGCCATCCAAGCAGAGATGATGACCACACCTAGCTAATGTCCAGTCCTTCACTACAGAAGATGGCAGGTGACATTGAACGAACCTGGCGCCAGAGGCAAGTTGACATGCCTCAGCCCGGCGCAAGCACAAGTCAGCTCCATCAAGGGCTCGTTACCCCCGATCCTGTTTGCACACCGAAAAGCGCGAGAAACTTGAGCTGCAAAACAGATTTGGATGCCAACAAAATAGCGCAAAACCCGCGCAGCAAGACCACGGCGCACGCTACCTGGGGTGGCCTGACAAAACCGTCCAAATAAACGTTTTTGCACACACACAGAGTTTGCACTGCAAATGCGTCCCAACCAAGTCGACCAAGAATGGCTTCGCCGGGTCTCTGCCCAAGCTACACATAGTTAGAACTTACGAGTGCTCGTGGTGAGCAACCTTTCCATCGGTTTTAAGCCACCTGTTGGGTGCTTTCAGATCGACACCTATGCAACGATACTCAGAAACGCCAGGGATGACAGATCCTTGTGGAAAGTGAACCGAAACGCGTGAGACCTACAGCCGACAACAAGAACAGCTATCCTGTTTGGACCAAATTAGAAATGCCAGCCAGCTCCGCGCTCTAATTGCAGCTCGCTGTCCACACTTCCTGTTCCTGGGTCTGCGAGTGGTGGATTTTTCCAGCGCAGGAAGTCGAGGGTGGAGAAGTGTCGATTGTCCCGTGCGGGCGCTCGCGGAAAGCAACCTTAAAAGGCATGCTTGATTGACTTAATTCACACGCATCTTCGCACTGCCAGCTGCGAGCCTTTCACACACACACACAACCAACGCAACTGCTGGGACACCCGGTCCAGCGCTAGTCAATGATATTCGAAAGAAGTTGCAATCACACTCCCCGCACACATGTTCGCACGCTCACTGAACAGCAGCCCTTTAACCCAGGGGGTCGAGCGGCACGTCGAGCATCAGAGAGAACGAACGAAGAAAGGTGCTTCGACTTCAACCCCAAATCACCGAACCCTCCGAGAGAAGAGCATGGTGGCGGAAATGCTCGAAAGAGCAGTCAGTGCAACCTTCGCGGGACCGACCGCCCAAAGTCTCGAACGAGTCTTCACGCCCGACAAGACACAAGCAACTCCCAGGCCCAGATTTTTCATGCGAGCGCTGATGACCGAAAACAAATCACAGTCTGCCAACCGGCCGCCTCGTCGATCTCAAGATGATCGCGGGACGGCCAGTCACCTGGATTCGCATCCGTAAAGATACGATCCATAAAGAAATTCACGCGGTACTCCAGCCAAAGCTCCCGGAATAACTCAACGAGCTCACAAAGATCCTGTTTTGAAGAGTACCCCTTGGCCAAGGAGGATTCTACCACTCAGTAGAAGAACGTCACGGTTCCGAAGATGATCGACTGAAAGAAGAGCAAGGTAGGGCCAGCTGCAGAAACGCGATCGCGCCCACGCGGCACAGGAGCAGCTCAAAGGCAAAGAATTGAGCATCGAGCGGGTCGAGCGACTCCTGAACGTGTCCCGCAGGGACCATGTCAAATGGAGGGAGCACCTGCAAGTTTGCCGCCTGGAGCTCGGCAGTAAAAATCCCGTTGCCATCTCGAGGCACCCGGGTCCAAGATCGCGGACCAGATAGGGGTCCCGCGGCACCTCCGACCAGAACCGCCAAGGAGGCGGAGCCTTTTCCGTGGCACTCAGTTTCCAACAAGAAACTTCACAAGCCGCTGGCACCTGCTGAACCGAAGGAGGGAGCTGCGGCTGGGGACGAAAGTCCCCTGCTAGCCTGTCCATTTGCAGAACTCTGGGGATCCAGACCGAAGTCCCCAGAAGGCGGATCCATCCTTCAGTGGTTCCCGTATTAAGGGTCATCACCCCTGCACTGGACGCAGACATGCTTGTTGCGACAGGCGTCCCCGAACCGGCAGCCGAGCGAGAAATTGAACCAGGGGCACCTGCGAGCGCCGGTATACAAGAAGCCCATTATCTTCTTCCACTCTTTTCCTGGTACTCAGGGATCACGATCAACTTTGGCGATGAGCTTCGCACCCGACGGCTTGTTCGGCGGAGCTCGGTCGCGATCGCGATCCTCCCGAGCCCTCTTGAGCTGCTCATGGCTGACTCATGGCTGCCAGGGTCAGCTCAATGGGGAGGTTGGGCCAGTAAAGATCGCAGGTCATTGGCGCGAAAATGCTGCAAAAGTAGTTGCTCAAGAAGGACATGTCAAGAGGGCCGAGCGGCTGCATGTCCGGGCCGTCCTCCCCCCCTCCCTCTGTGCACCACTCAGACAAAAGCTTCCAACATGAAGTTGTCAGCACATCACTCAGCCTGTGGCCTATTCGGCATGAGACCACGGTACATGTTGAAATGCAAAGTCAATCCAGTCAATGAACCCCGCAGTTGCACAATCAATGAAGTCTAAGCGAGACAGATATCGCAAAACACACCCGAACAGTGGCTCACCCGGCTCACCCCTAAACTTACATACTCCCTTGTTGGCGCAAGTCCTGAACAGAAGGAGCGGTCGTAAAGTCTGACGTCCTGAGCAACGAGTACCCAGGTGGTGGAAGCCCGATAGGTTCCTGCAGGAAACGTTGCAACCACGGCGGTGTCGTTTTGGGAGCAAGAAAGCACCACTTAAGAAAGCCATATGTCATACGTGGTCTCCTGGCGTTCCAACTTCTGAGCATGGGACGAGTTACAGAGCAGAAAGCCTGCGTGTCCAGATGCACGCACCACAGTCGGACATCGGTAGGAAGCATGGGCAACAAGCGGGCGAAGCAGTACGTCTGCGGATTTATCTTCATGCACAACCCAGCCTTTCCATTACTTTTGCTGGGGGACGCCCGTCTGAACATGCTGCAGCTCTCCGTAAGGTTCGTCTGGAAAAACACGGGCATGTCTCAGCACAGCAAGCCTGGAGCTAACCAGCACTAGTTGACGATTATGTATATAACTTGCTTGCGGGGCAGAGGAACCTTAGCCTCCGAATCACCCACAGCGACTGAGCCAGGCATCACTCCAACAACAACTGACAATGCCTTGGGCTGAGGTGTCGTAAGGTGTAAGGGCCGCCATGGCGCATGTGCTGAGATGCTCTTTTGTCACTCACATGGCACGCCTCTGACAGCTCCGCGAGGATTTAACTGGTAAATAGCCACAACAGAGCCCAAGATATTTGGGAAAACAAAAGTACTAGTATGGAAGATAAAGCCGGCGACGTAAGCAAGGTACTCTCATTGCATGGCATGCACAAGAAACGCAGATGTGCCAAGACATTGACTGACTGAGACCGCCAGAAGCAGCAACATAAGCGATGTGATCCAGTGAACAATGAAAGAACGACTTCTCTTGCATGCACAGGTATAATCAAACAAATCATTTGGTTGTACTAACATCTTTGATCAACTGCAGACTGTGACTCTGAACATATGGCAAACATGTATGTGCACGCAAGCAAAACAAGTGCACATCACGGGCTGTTGTAGTGTGTCTTACTGCATTGCGCCGCTTTTCATCAAACTTCGCTCGATTGAGCCGCAGTCTTGAGCCAAAATAGCTTGAGCCAAAGTGGCTCGAGCCAATATGCATACAGAGACATCCCATGACTCCATTCATTCTTCCATCCATTCAAACAGCCAGTGGGTCAGTCAATCAGTCAGCTAGGCAGTGAGTCAGTCATCCGTTCATCTCATGCACCCTTTCTTTTCAAACACATAGCGATGCAAGCGATGTGTACAAGGAGCATCAATCAGCCCAAGCAACAAATATCTGTAAACAGCAGATTCTGTACACTCAAGCGGTACAGATTTACCCAACACGCACCGCTCAAGAAGCTTTCAAGTAAAGCCTAAGGACTAGGTGTCAACTGCAACAGTCCCCAATTTTTTGATGATTAGGGCCTGATTAGGGCTCTATATTAAACAATGGGGGGATTTAAAGATATCCCAAATGGGTACCTAGAGGAGGACGGTGGGAAGTTGAAATGGTGGACGACTGCATTACAAACCAAGAAAAAATTCTGTGCGGAGGACACAACAGAGTCCAACCGGAGAAGCTAACAGGAGAAAGCTAAGTATGCTGTCCCTGGGCCGCCGATGCATCCTTCTACGCTCCCCCGCTGAGAGCAGGTCGAGTCGGGAGGCGAGTTGTGAATCAAGACCTGCTCCGACTTACACCGACACCGAGAAGAAACGCGACAATGACCTAACGTTTGACACCAGAGTCGTGCAGGCCTTGGTGCAGCGTGCATGCAAAATCATTAGTCGAGACAGCTTTGGAAAGAACAGCTCCAGACCCCCATGACGATACAATGTGCGTTAACGGGACCCTTTCGGCATGTCGGTTTGGAGGCGATGATGCGACATCACCCATCGAAAACTATGTATCAAGCACGTTCTTCGCATCTTTTGGGGGGGTCGTCTCATCGCATGAGCCTCCACAAACCACCAAACCAAAAACGACATAGAAATGGTTTACGGTTCCTCAATCGCTCCCTGGCTCGGGCCTCGGCTACGTCGTCCTCCTGGCCATAGGCGGAGTCGTGAGGTTTTCCTGCGTCGTCGTGGTATCCGAGGAACAAGGCGTCCCAGTCCTCGGGCAAATTCTCGATGGCCTTGGCTACGACCTCTTCCACGCGGGGCACCACTTCCAATATGTCGTCCTCCAAAATGATGGCCCATTTGGCGGTCGGGTGTGAAACCAGTGCTTGCAGGGCCAGTCGGTGAGACATAGCACATGCAATCCCGCCCACGGTTAGGTGGTTGTCGAAATGCAACAGCCGCCCACCACTGTGGACAATAGTGTAAGCCCCGCGGCGTCTTGCATGTCTAGCCTTGTCTAACGCGTACTCATCCACGATCTCAGCCACTGCATCATCCAAAAGACGTAGCCACTTTCCGTCTACGGCATCTATTCGACGAATTTGACGACGAAGCTCGGCGTTTGAAACAGCCAGTTTCTCTAGCAGCTTCTCACGGCGGTCGGGTCTCCTAGCTAAGTTGATGTACAAGGCACACCACTCCTGGCCAGGATCCGACAGATCATCCCAGAAGGATGGGCTCAATTGGAGGAATGTTTCTGGGTCAGGACGGCGTCGTGACCCCAAGTCAGCGGCCTCGTCCTGTGCAGCTTGTGGCAGCTTGCCAAGCCTGCAGACGCACCATCCGTGCGTGCTTTGCATGCCCCAGCTGCAGGAGGGAATGCCCAGCAGAGATGGCGAGTATGTCTGCGAATGACGGCGTCGGGCAATGATGCGGCCCGCAAAAACTAGCGAGCCTGCGATTGGCAGCACTATCACCCTGAGTTTCATGCCTGTGCACCTTCACATCCCTACTCAGCAGGCTGGTGGCAGACAATACTCATGAGCACAAGAAAACCTTGTCAGCACAGCTTTTGCTACGTCTCACACCCTTAAAGAAAATCCATGGCGGCTGCAAGCCTATTGCAAAGCCTCCGTTGCCAAAGCCATTCCGAGCCAACGTCTTGGTCCTGGCATGCCATGGCAGAGTCAGAGACATGCGAAACTTGAGTCTCATCCATCCAAGACACCTCCCGCTCAGCCGACGCACTGCACGGCCGCCGAGCAGTGCGGGTGGGCAAGCACCCGCCGACACCAGTGCCATGAACGTCACGGCTCTGACATGACCCCACTTGCGAGTCCCTACTCTGGGCAAGCGCTGAAACCTCTCTCTCTCGCTTGATGTGTCACTTGTTTTTTTGACGTGCTACTTCTGCGGCGCTGAAGTAACATCCGAAGAAGGGCGAGAGCGCCGAATGTGAGCATGACATGGTCAAGCACGGATAAAGTTGCGAAAAGCCAGGAATCAGAATCTACGAAGAACCTTCACCAGTCCAGCCTCCGACTGTCTCATGCAACCACTGCATCGTGTGCACGACAACTCAAGGCTCCAAGCCCAGTCGCGCAAACTGCTGTTTTCGTTCTCTAACCTCAGGATGCGGCAAATCGAGAAGCCTAATCAATGATCACCAATGCCCGCTGTCGTATCCTTATCACTTGCCAGCTTCGTGATTCTACGCTGCTGCAACAAGGCAGCGGCAGACCGTTCCTTCATTCGTTCACACCAACGCAATACAATCTGAGACTGCGGCCGCGTGCACTTGTCAGTGACTTCCTTCCCCAGGCTCAAGGCTTTCATGTTTCGAGCGATCACAGATTGCTTGACAAACCACACCTTTTGCTGATGCCAGATCGCACAAGCAAGGCTCAAAGGAAACGACAAAAGCACTCAACAGGGTTAAAACCAAAGCAACTCTGGGACTGCCTTCTGCAGTCGGCATGTCGGAATGCCAGCTGTCACGGGTCATGTAGTCTGTACCATGAGCCCATGGGCAATACTACTCACTACTCGTTACTACTCGACACGAAGGATAGTGCCGTTTGACCTCCGATTCAAATTGTATGCAGATCGCACATTGAAAAAGAGCCCAGAGCAACACACGAATGTTGTGGTCGCCTGGAAGCGTGCTGCACACGACTTGGCTTGTACCTTTGATAAAGAACCTAGAACTTCAGCCTGCGGATTCTACAAAAAGCGCAACACCCACCCTCAGCTGGATGTTCCTTCGGTCGTGTATGGGGAAGCTTCTGGGTACGCTTTGACTGGCTGCAGCTGGTGCATGCAAAAGCCGCTCAAACATGCGACGATCAGGACCACTTTGACCAATGCAAAGCACATCGAACCAGCCGTTGAGGACCATGCACTGGCCAGTGAAAGGACAACTAACAGCATCAGGAACGCACTGCCGACGAAGCCAGCAGACTCCGTCATCTCCCGTGTCCAAGAAGCAAAGTTGCCCTCGAAGCCAAAGTCTTGCAGGAGGGATGCACTTTCGTCATCGTACTCCTCCAGGTTCAAGATGGCCTCAGTGCACTCACTGGCCCATGGCCTCGATGACGTTCCTGCCTCACCGGAAACACCTTTAGTCGCACCTTGGGCAGCTTCGCTGCACCCCCTGATCTGCAGAACGCGCCTTCGTTTCGTCGGACTCCTCCTCCTCCAACCGGCACTGCTTTGGCCGCTCGCTCTCTGCACTGTCACTGCCTCACATTGACACATCTTTCGTGGCTTGAGAGCTTGATTTCATGCTTCTGATTCTCAGGCCGCTTCTAATCGACCGCATGTAGTGCTCAGCTGGATCAGGAGGAACTGTGCTGGCTTGGCTTTCAAAACCTTGCCGGCACTTGTGCAGAACCGACAGGCAGGCACAATATGAAGACTGGTTCGCTAATGCTCTGGAAGAAACGGTTCCAATCTGACTTGCAGTCTTCTTTGGAAGGTGCGCAGGAGCCAGCCATACCTGGGAACCATGCGATGGGCTTCCTTAGTGCGGAGACCACCATACTCCAAACGGCCACCGAAGATCGGACACCGACACGGGTATGAGCTTACATGCGGCCAGCAAACTGATTCAAGATGTCCTCGTGTGCGAAGATCATGGTGGCGTCTGTATCTCACAGCTGTTTACGAGAATCCGCGTGCCAGTCTTCTCGAGCCATATGCAGCGCATGCTTCGGAGGCTATCTGCCACTCTCCGCACGAGCATGTCATTCCAAGTTGGAGGAACAAACACAAAAAAACAACACACGAAAAACACGCATGGCTCCCTGCCCAGGTCCTCGAGCCTGGCTTCGAGGCTCTGCCTCAAGTGTAACTTGATAAGATTTGAGCAATGTGTCGCATATGGCCAATGCCGGGGCGATGGGGAACATTCCTTCCAAAACAAATGGGATGTGAGCAGAAACCTGGATAGATGGATTGCCTCTCGGTTCCAAGAGTTTTTGCAATCCAGGCCATAATGAAGTCGCATGATGAGAAAATAGACCGGTAACACGCTGAAGCACATGCCTCTTGACTACATGTCCTGTTATGTCTATTTGTGTGGGGTCGCACCGCATCGTGAAATAGTTCGACGAAGTCCTTCTGAGTGGCATAGCGACAAGGATGTGCTGTGAAGACAATTCAAACGTGGAAATGGAATCGACATGCTGAGGAGAGTGGGTTTTGACACACCATCAATGACCAAAAGGATGGGGTTCGATAAGAAATCCTCGCTGGCGCCGTTCTACCATAGAAGCATAAGAAATAGCACAGGGTTGTACACAGGGTTGTACTGCAGTCGTTGTGTCCTCCCTCTCTCGCCACCATAAAAAACATCAGGTCTCTTGCTACATCTTCCTTGTCCGGTGCGATGTCGTCCGATGAACTCTGCAAGCCCTACGTGTCAGATCCTCCATAGCTACATTTGTGCACATGTTTGTGCTGCATCAGGAGCAAGTGCCGTCCCATACGTGCGTGCCACTGGCTCCGTTTGAATCATTAATGTGCCCTGTGGTGTGCACACGATCTCTCTGAAGCCTGTTGCACACTGTTCACGACATCTTCTGGCTTGTCCACAAAGCTGAGCAGGTGACACTCGATTGAGAAGCCCAACTGGCATTGGTGCTGGAACGCCCTGCAAGGCATTTGTGAACTCAAGCTTGAGATCAACGATACTGACGCTGTGCAAGGACGCACGGTGCCTGTGCCTCAGCGGAGGCTGGGCCTCGAAACATTCTCTTAGCAGTTTAAGCTGTGATGGCAAACTCGGATCCCGACGGCTGGATCCAGAGCCGGCTCTTCCTATCCTCAGTCACCAAGAGTCGGTCCCAAAAGAACGTGGTTTCTGGCAGGGCTCGGCTACTGACCCGCCAGATTGCATCCTTGGCCCAACGTCCCAGCTCCTGGCGCTCTGCAAGAGCCCAAAGCCACCACACTGCGTCACTACACCGAAGCAGCCTCCACAGGCCCCGCCCCCGGCACCTCCCACGAGGCAGCGGATGGCCCTCCCCCCCTACTCCACATGAACCGAAAGCGAAAGGGAGAGCTCGGTTCACCAGCACACTTCGACAGAGCAGGTTCCATGGCACCAGCGATCGAGTGCTGCTGACACTCATGCTGCCACTTTTAAACCAGCGGCGTCCGGCACCACCAACACATGGAGGCGGGTCGCCTTGCTTGAAGTTGCTTGCCAAATGCCTGCGGTGGCCAAGGACATCGTCACTACCAGTACCTCCTTTGCCTCTAGGCACTGTCACTCGCAGTGCATTTGCCAGCTTCCGGTGAAACTACGCTACATGGAAAACCCTGGGAAATGGTTCCCGTTGTCGGGCAGTGAGCTTGGTAATGCGACTTTGTCTGGCCATGCCAGCTGAATGGCTCCGTGTCGTGCTAAGTAAGCTCTACGTGCAGTGCTGTAGCCTGGGCAGCACTGACAGCTGACCACATCCCGTTCAGTTCCGTGACGTCGCGCAGCAGCTGAAACAACAGGGCGACTGGCCAGGCATACTTGGTCACAACCTTGATGGCAAGCGTGACCCAAGCTGCCCAAGCCGTGCATGCCATCTCGTTCTGCCTGTCTTTCTCTGCTCTTTATCTGTGTGCATCTGTGTGCTCTTCAACACCCAATTCCTCCTTCTCTCTCGTTCCCAGCCCTCAACATTCCCGCCGATTGAACAGGCGTTGTGGCCTCAACCTGAGCTGCCTCCTCAAAAAGAACTTGTCCGAACTCGGGGCCCGTGCAAAACATGCACGCGGAGCCGACTGCCTGACCTCGACATCTCGATGCCCATGTTTCCGACCGTCAAACGTGCACATCTGCGCGCTTATTTCTTTGCTTGCAGTGCCGGCCGGCATGAGTTAGCATCAGGTTCTCTCGACCACGGCGTCCCATTCTTTACCTGCAAGAAAAAGCGTTGACAAAAGGTCATGGTTCTGCAAATCTGAGACACCGAAAGTTGGCATCTGACTCGTTCAAACCAGGCAAGAAGCGGAACACATCTCCGTCGTAAGCGAACTCGATCTCAGGCATGGCTTCAGGTCTGATCCACTCTGCCAGCTGGACATCCATCACCCCGAGCACCAGCTGTCGAGCCACATGCTCCTCAAGGAGCACAAGCAGCACAACTCTGCAACCGGTTCCAAAGGGACACGCTGGCCATCTCCGGCGCTCCTTGGGCACTCGCTCGGCGAATTTGCCTCCGCTGACCAAGCATAGGCGAACCTGGTCGATCGCGGGCGCCTGCGACCTCGTCAACTTGTTCGGCGAGGTTTGCAACTAGTTCAGCACAAGGAAAGCGAGGTTCTACAAGGCGGGATCATAACGCAACCGCCGCTACCCTTGAGCCAAGTATGAACTCTGAACGGTTGCGCAAGCCGCATACAGACAAGATCCGGGGACCGAAACATGTCTGCTCACCGCCATCAGACCGCCGACTTAAGCTTGACCAGTCGCGCTGCAGCCTTTACTATTTTGCCTCCCGCATGGCCTTTACTGTTGTTGTTGGTGTCGCAGCATCATCATCATCATCCTCATTATCATCACCATTACCATCAGGCTCGGGTGGACATAGATCGGGTGTCTAGATTCTTGATCCGGCTACAATGGACCTGCGAACACCTGGATCATGCATGCTCGTCCACCGCAGGTGCAAGTCAAAGGGATGACGTTGCTATGACTATGACTTGGTTTTGCGATGCGACGTGGAATAATCGTGCACCCAAATGTTCTGATCAAGCATGACAAACTACACCCTTTCAGTGAATTCAGACATCTTACCCTCAATGCGGGATGCATTATGCAAAGTTGAATGACGTGAATTGCGGCAACTGACCAACCGACCCGAACAACGTCGCCCATGATTCGCGCACATAGTCCTTGTGATCTGACGATGCCCAAGCGCGGAATCAATTACGTTTAAGGTCTTGTTGCTTTCAACTCTTCCACTCCCTGCTTTTAAGGCACTTGCTTCGTCCACATGACAGGCTGGTTCACCTGGATACACGCCCTCAGCACACACCGGTTCGAAAGATGTCAAACTTGACCTCATGCGATCCAGAGACTTGACTGTGAGAACCCTGAGCTCTGAGTCATTTTGAAGGCTACACCGGCCATGATCATCATGCAGCTCTCGCTTGACAGGAGAGCCAGGCGATGAGGATTGGAGCGATGGGGGGTGGCGTTCGAAAGTGCAGTTGCTATACGGTCAACGGTCAGACACCGGTGGTTCGCCAGGATTGATGTTGCGAAGACTAGTCACTTTTCCGCAAAGCCGTAGGCTTGATCCAAGGGGCCCCTGCGGTAGAGGGGAACGTCTGAGACTGTACAAAACGCTAGGTACACACACTGTACGCGCTGCAAAACAGGTTAGTTTCACAACCGTGACTCTTACAGCGTCAGTGTGGTGAGACTTCGTGCTCAAGGATCAACGGTCTTGCTCGTTGTCCTCTTCCTTCTTCGTCGACCTCCTCTGAAGCTGCTTGGCGCGCTTCTTAACGACACTCTCGAGCGGCTGCTCTACGTCGAGTGTGTTGGTCTTCAGAGCTTCAACCAACTTGACCGGCTCCATGACCTTCGTCAACGGATCTGCGATCATCACGTCGGTGTCAATCCATCTGACGATGTCAGTTAACTGATCATCCGCTGGCTTGTAGTCGTCGTAAAACGGATATCCTGCTTTCTCGCCAGCTTTGCGCCATAGCTCCTGTCTGAGAGACGCGATCTCGATGCTCAATCTCTTGTCCGAATGCTTATTGCATTTCGGATTCGAAAGCGTCAGTTCCAGACTCTTACAGTCTGTCATCCAGATCTGTTTCACAAACTTGGCCGACGTAGCCTCCCACCTTTTCATATCGAGGCATCCGAAGATGTCAGTGACTGCTGCTCTCAGCACGTCACCGTCCTCCACACCTGCCTGAAGTGTGTAGGCCTCTGCCTGTATGGTGGAACGACATACCCTCCGAACGAGGTTGCTCGCCCACAAGATGGGATGAATGCTACCCTTGTTCCCTTTCCACAGGGCGCCGTCTGTAAGAAACACCATCCTTGCACCTTGGCTCCGGTGTCCTTCCACAGATGTCATTTCGTTTATGATCATCTCTTCGGACTCATTCGCGTGAGAAGCGTCCGTGATCACCAGACTCAAAAGAGCACCTGGTGTCTTCCAGTCCAACAGCCCAGACTTGAAAACAAGTCCTCTGTCGTAGGTGCTAATAGCGTGCTCGACCGCTTTGTTGGCATCTCTGATGTCAGCGACGGTACCATTGCTAGAAGCCGACTGGATCTTGGATACCCTATAGCTTAAGTCGGGTCGGCATTGTCTGCAAACCCAAGCAAGGGACCCAGCGACGCTCTTCATCTGCGTCTTGTCAGAGTCCGTTAAGGGATCTCCCGGGTGCCTCCTCTTGTCAACGTGAATCTTGTTCACGTTCCTCGTCGTTTCGCTGCAGGTCACATGGATATTGAAATCCTCGTCTTGGCTTATCTCCTTCCCGCAGTACCTGAAGCTCCCGGTCTCAACCTTCCCACACTTGAACGTCTCAATGAGGTCGTTCATGATCCAATCGCATGACGGATCACAAGCCCACAATAGATCGTCTACGTGGGACGTCAAGAGCAACTGTACAACCCCATCGGCATCTGTGTAACTGTACAAAGCGCGGTAGATGCGGTTCTCGCGTAGTCCTTTACCCTTGAGGTAATTTCTAAGCCGCTTCCAAAACCTTCTACCACCATCCGTGCTGCCGTAGATGGGTGCTCTCGCCAGCATGTGCTGGTGGGGCTTGAGCCCAGGGAGTCCTCCCTTGGGCTGAGATAGTAGAAGTACTCTATCTATCTCTTCGCCTTGAAAGTAGGCGTTAGTCACGTCCAGGGATTTAATCTTGACCTTCCTAGAAGCCGAAAAGGAAAACACTAAGTTCTGAGCTTCTATGCTAGCAGTAGGGCTATCACTCCTAGGATCACCCTTCTCAAGATCACCCCGAACAACCAACCTACTCTTGTAGTTGGCCTCCACGGTAGGATCAAGTAACCTCTTGTTGTGGTTCTTGTCCAGCTCTACCCATTGGGTAGGTATGACTTGATGTCCTTCACGGATCAACTCGTCATACTGTGCGTCATCAAGAATGATCGCAGCACTGAAGTCCTGCCACTTTGCCCACTCTTTGGCTCTGCTCTTGTCCAGTTCCTTTTGGACATCTTCAGGGCATTTGTGGTACATTAGGATCTTCCCGTGCTTCTCCTTCTGCTTCTTGGACGTAAAGTTCTTTCGGCGCTTGCGCCACTGCGTCACCTTCTTGTCGTCCTCGACGCGGTCTGCGAAGAAAACCCGTAAGGCCTCGTACTCCTTCTCCCCGGGGAGTGAGTTCCAAACGGTTCTTTCCTCTTTCGTCCAGAAGTGGCTGGCGTAAGCCCTCAGAAGAAGCGCTGAGCTACCTTCCGTGGCCTCGGCCTCACCATCGGCGTCCACCGCCGTGTCCTCAGCCATCGGCTCTTGGATCCCTCCTGGAGGGTCCACCTGTTCGTTCTCCGGCTCCTCCACAGTCACGGCCCGTGACTCTTCACGGGTTGCTCCAACTCTCCTTCGAACAGCTCGTTCTGGAGCAGCGGCCGCAGTCTCTGGAGGATCTGCTTCTGTATCCGCTTGGATCGGAGAACCTATTCCAATTCCTCCGTCCGGTGGCTCTTCTGGGTTGTCTAGTACTAGATCATCCCCGGTGGCATCAATGTACCTTTGTTGCTCGCGTTCAACCTCCGCGTGCTCGTACTGTATGTTGCCACGGTTCAACACTTGGAACGCTAAAACCTCAGCCGATGTGCACGGTCTGAGTCGTGCCAAGCTGGTCGCCACGGGTACGCCCTGATGCACCACCCAGACTGTTTTGTTATCGAAGCCGATTATTTTACTAACGGTCGACCACGTACTGATACCTGAGTGCTCATCTCGTGCGATCCTATAGCAAACTAGGTCGCCAGCTTGGTATTTCCCCGGCAGGGGAGCCGCTTTTCGCAAAACGGTCTTTCGTACCCTGCGACTGCAGTCCTCATGGACGAATGCCTTTCTGGCAGTGTGGCGGAATTCGGCCTGGCGGCCGAACGCAGTCGTGGCATCTAACCTGCCCGACAAGACTCCAAGCTGTCCTAGCTCTTCTTCGTCCAAAACGTGGCCCACTCCTCTGGGCAGGCGTCCAAGCACCCACTGGGTGGGGCTGAAGCCTCCAACACGCATGAACTCGTTCTTTGCGACCTGCGCCTCGAGCATCGCCACCTTGACATCATCTTTGCCCACAACGTTGTGGTCCTTGACCAAACGCTTGAAGGCTCGCTTTATGATGCCTCCATGCCTTTCGCACTTCCCTATGTGCTCAGGCGATTCCAGTCCGGCTTGGCGGATCTGGACTCCATGGCTACCCAAGCCGTGAGCGAAAGCGCCCCGGTTGTGTAAACCACGGTCGTGGGAAACCACCTTTGGCCACCCAAAAGGGGAAACCCAGTGCTGCATGAACTTCTGCAAGCACTTGGCTGAGCTCGGCTGTCCGCCACCAACGCGGACCAAGGTCACAACTTGATAGCTTGTGCCGACATCTATAATGTTCAGCCAGCTAAACTTTGCGCCTGTTGAGTCTGCAGTCTCCAGCACGTCCACCGAAACTGTGTGGTTGAACTCGTAAGGTGGAGGAGCTGACACAGGGTGTGTGCGAACCTTCTCTTCGCTAACCCTGCAAGACTCACACTTGAAGATCTTAGCTGCATTCACCAACTCTTCAGAAGCACCTGCCCCACGAAGTACCTGAACTAGCACTTCCTTAGGCTTGTGGTTCATCATGGTGTGCAACCTCCTGATCCCCAAGCGAACACGCCTCGGTACCTTAGACCATGCCTTTCTCCTCTCAGACTCTTCCTTCGGAAACCCTGCTAAAGGCAACGTGTCTAAGATGTCTGCTTCCTCGGCGAGTTCCAGATCATCCATGAAAGCGGTCCTATTGTCTCTGGGATCCACTATAGCATCTAGAGTACCAGATTCCTCGACCTCATCCTGCCTTGCCTCAACAGGAAACGCTTCAGCAACGTGGTCCTCTACACAGCCCTCTTGCAACACAAGCAACAAGGTTTCGGCAAAACCAACTTGCGTGCCTACTGTGTCGATGCTCACAGGTGAGTAGTGTATGTCATGGTCACAGTTCGCCCAACTAGACATGACTTCACCTATCGCCTGCGAAAACGTCCCTACACAAAGGTCACCCCTACACTGAAACAACTGAAACTCTCTCTCAGTACCCTCGACACTGTTCTCGAACCACAGGTTCCACCTAACACTGCCTAAGCTGTCAAGAACAAGCACTTCTTTTGTGTACGCGGAGAGGGACTGGAGCCAGGTCTGTACCTGCAGGGTGAGACCTACCTGGTCTTCCAAACTGTACACCAACAGCAGGAGGTCGGGACGGATCTTAGCAATCTCCTTAGAGATTTGCTTCTGCCAACCGATGTCCTCCAGAAGGATCATACGGTAGCCAGGGTGTCGCACGATCACCTTAGCGCCGGTCCTCTCAAGGGATCCGGGCTGGAACTCCGAGTTCGCCAGGGCAAAGATCGTGGGCGGATCGCCCGTGATCGCCGCTGACGGAAGCCCCAAGGCCTGCATCAGCAGGTCGTCGTGCGTGTTGAGGTTCTTGCAAGAATCCTCAAACATCTTTCCGGTCTCCTTTTTCATCACCTTCAGGTCAGAAGCCATGAGATCCGGAAGCATGCCTCCAACGTAGAAGGCACTGCCACCGCGTGGCGGGACCAAGAACACCAACATGTGGCGCGGGTGCTGGTCCCAACGGTCGCCGAAGTAAACCCATGAGTGAGCGGCCACGTTGGTCTCGCGCCACTCCCAGGGCCCATCGGACGTCCATTGGATCGCCACGTGCTTGCGGTAGCGCTGCAACTCCGTCGGGACCTTATCCCAGGAGTTTGCAGCGTGTGCCCCATAGGACACACGAACCGGTGGTCCGGCTCCTTCGTGCCCCACGCCTGGCTGCAACCAAGTTTTAAAGGCGATTTCGCCGTGCCTCTTGTGTCCTGAGATAACTTGGCTCAAGTAGCCCCCCCGAGAGGCTGCCCGGGTTGTTGGGGTTTTCCCCCAAACTGGCCAGGTCGTGGCGGGTCTCTGCGTGAGAAGTCGAGGCAGGATTGGACTCTGTATGAGTCCTTGGGCCTCGAGGGTTGTTGTTCGGCCAGCGTCCCTTGTCTCCTCGGCCTTTTCCTTTTCCCTTCTCACCTTTTCCCTTCTCTCCTCGCCCGTCGGCCTGTGCCGATCGGGTCCTTTCTCTTGGCGGTGGGTCCGCCGCTTGAGCGGTCGTCCTTCCAGCTGTGGTTGCGCCAGGTTGTGCCGCGGCCTTGTCCTCGTCCAGCTGGAGAATCGCCTGGTCCAGGCTTCGGTTCGCCAGCTCCAGGTCAGTGTCCCACTCTTTCTCCGTCCGCTTTCCGGATCGGACGTCAGCCACCAGCGACGACAAAAGTGCCCTCGCCGCCTCGTAGTCTAAGTACTTCGCGGCAACGGCGCAGGTGAGCGAGGTGTGGTCCACCTACTTGGCGACGAGCGTAGTGACTTCCGTAAGCTTCGCTGGGTTGAAGACACTATAAACCCTAGAAAGAAAAAAGAAAACTTACCTTCTCAAGGGACTTGTCATCTAATCCTTCCAGCTCGGGGCGCAAGTCGTGGACTGGCACCGACACTCCGTCTGGGGTCTCCACCGTGAAAGGCTGCGCCGGTGCCTTCGAGCTGGCACTGGCCTCGGCTGCCCCAGTGGTGTCGTCCTCGTCGTGGTCCTCATCTCCGAGCTGCTCGTCCTGAGCGGCCTCTTGCTTGACAGCCGAGTCAGGCTGCGGCGGGTCACTGCTTGATCCCGCGCCCGCTGCCTGATGAGCTGTCCCCGAAGGGATCGGCTCTTCCACCACGACGCCATCGTCGCCTAGGCGGCGCTGGCCATCCTTTCGCACCTACACCTTGGGCACGAATTCGAACCAGCGCTCCCTTGCGAAGTCCATCACCTTCTCTGCGGTGCTTCGAGCCTCCTTGGACTCCCAGTTGCACTCCGCGCAACCACCGCATAGATATCGCCAGTTGTAGCCGTCGCAAAGGTGAAGTAGTCTCGCTTCCACTTCGTACGTCTCCTTTATGAGATCGTACACGATCTTTGCATTCGAGACAGACCTGTGTCTGCCCGATTTGCAAAACATAAAAATCACGCACTGCTCGTTCTCCTGGATGAGCTTGTGCACGGCCGGCACGACCTCCTTCATGAACGCCACCCATTTTCCATTCGTCTTCGGGTCCAAAACCATGGCTTGCACGTTCCTGGGGTACGTGCCTAAGTGGTCCCTGAGGGACTTGTCCTTGCCCGGGTCGTTCATGTGCCGGCAGTCCAGAAAAAGGATCTGCTCCGTGGCGTAGTCCCGGAAGGACTCAAAGTTCTGGCGCAGGCTTTCCAGAAGCGTGTCCTCGTGGGCCTCGTTGTTCAGCGAGAACTCGTGCGACTGCCCCTTCCGCATACCCCGGATAAGTTCCGTGAGTCCACGGTAGGTGCCGCGCCCACGTTGGCAGGTCTCTAGCTTCTCCAAGCCCAACGTGACCACCAAAACGTTCTTCCGCTGCCCTTCGGTCTCCTTCACCATTTCGGACAGCATGTACGCCGTGCTGTCCTTGTCCCCTGAAGGGATCAAGGTTTCTTTCTTGCGTGCCGTCCCGTCCCTCAAAGGGATCGAGAAAGTGTTCTTCTCCTTCTTAGATGTCCTCTTAGGGATCACCTCCGGATTCACTGCAAACTTTCTGTGCCTCTCTGTAACGTTCGCCCCAAACTGGCTCACGCACAGGAGGAGGAGGCCAGTCTTCGAGTGCCTCGCCAACTGCAGTGTCCCGGCGTAACCCGAGATTCGGCACTCGCCGCGCCTCAGGTCCTTGATCAGGCCAAGCTGAACCTGATCCTGCAAGGACAGGAGGCAGAGCACGTCCGGAGAGTCCAGCTCCACGCTGGAGAGCTCTCCCTGCAGACGGGTGCTCCGGCGAAGGCCTCCGCTCTCCGGCATGATGCGGAGGGCGAACGGCATCGCGAACTTGCCCGTCGCTCGAGCCGCTCCAATGCCCTTGAAGCTCGTGCCGCTCGAGCGCACGCTGGTGAACTGCAACCCAAACTTCGCCAGGACCTTTGAGGAGTGAGCCCTCCACTTTGTCCCGTGGCATGTCTGGTTGCAGCCCTCGTCCAGCATCACCCAGACGTTTTCGTGGTCCTCTAAGGGATCCACGAGCTGGAGTTGCGGCTCAGCAATCTCCTCGTCCAGGGGTGCAGGCTCACTGTCTGAGCTCTGCACGCTCTTCGGACTGATGTCTCCTTCGAGATCATCCTTCTGCAGCTGCCCCACCAGAGCGGTGAGCGTCAGCTTGGTGTCCTCTCCAGGATCACCTTTCCTTTCCGCCGTCGCCACGCCGGCGAACTTCTCTCGGCTTCCCGAGCCCTTTCCGCTGGGAGGCGACGCCGCCATGGCGTCGCTAACAGCTGCGCCCCTCTCTCTCGGGCCAGCTGCTGCTGCGGCGGCGGGCGACGCTTGCTCACGAGGCTGTGCACTCCTACGCTCTCTACGTACAGGGGAAAACGCAGGCAAAGGTGGGGGCTCTACTTCCTGACTAGACCTAGCTACGTCAGCTGCCCTACCATGTTGCATGCGTAACTTCGTCTGCTCTACAACCTGGTCCATCGCATCCTCAAGGCAACTAGACAACTCGGTTGAACTGACTTGGTCAACTTTCAACAAAAACTTGTCCATGTGCTTGAAGAACTTCTTTACCACCTCACCTGCCTCAAACTTCGTAAAGTTGTACTCCTCCAGCTGTCTCCTCGTGAGGTTCTGCACCTTGAGTGGAGACTGCTGTACCTGCTCGGCGAGTCCCTTCTGCTCCTTAAAGAGCTTCTGCGGGATTTCCTCTACCACAGTGCAACAATCAAGACAAAAGGTGCGGTGTACCGATCTCGTGCTGTTCCTGTTGTCTGTGCGCTTGTGCTCGCACGTGCGGGGGTCGTTCTTCGGTACAGCCTTTGGTCTCGGGTTTGAGGTACGGGTGCCGCACAACATGCAAGTAGTCTTGATTACATGCGCGTTGCTACCGGCTTTGTTCAGAGCGTGTGCGGGACAGCCGCCGACACACGGTCCTTTGGGATCCGCCTTCAACAACCCGAGCTTGCTCTTAGGTGCCTTCTCAAGGCTCACCTCCTTCCTAGCCTTCTGCAGCGAGTCGGCCTCCACCGGCAGCGTAACTGCCCTGAGTGTAGCCCTTCCACCGCCAACCGGTGGAACCTCAAAGTTGCGATACACCCAGACAAGCCATGCTTCTAGCATGGTGCTCGGCTCTTTCTCCTTGAGGCCCCAATGGTAGTAATCGGGGTGGTTCTGCAAAACCTCAAGGTAGGTGCTACCCCTGTGCATCCCGAACCGAAACACCTGGTCGCTGCCATCAGGGTACTCTATAGTATCCCATTCCGTGGAGGGGGCGCCTTGCGACGCAAAGTCGTCCAGGAGCTCTTCGTCAGACTCTTCAAAGTCGGTCTTGTCGAAGAAACCCATGTACGCCGCAGGCTCCGTCTCAGAGTCCTGACCCAAGCTAACGTAGTTCGCTGTTGGCTCTGGGTCAAAACTGTGACTCTCGCTGTCGCTCTCGCTGGGGCTAGCGCTAAAGTCGCAGGTCTGTGTGGATTTATCCATCACACGCCTAACCTGGGCAAGGTGTGCCACTGCAGGCTTTCCTGCTCCTTTTCCTGGGCCTGGGCATTCCTTGTCACCAGCCCAGTGGCCCTTTCTGCCACACGTTTTGCATGTGCTCCTGAGTTTAATCTCATGGAGCTTCCGTCTCCTGTCTTCAACAGTGAGACCGGTAGATCGCGGCCGATATCCATGTGCACTCCTCTGCATCACAGACTTTCCTTTACCCTTAGCCTTGGCCCGCGCCATAAAGGCAACGGTCTCGCACTGCACGGTGTCTGCGAGAAACGCCAAAGCCTCTTTGTCTTCCTCGTCGAACCCAGCGCTTATAAAGGCGGTGAAGACATCAAGCTCGACGTCCCTTAGGGATGCGTCGGCCGACTGGGCAACACACGCGGTGTCTTCCTCTCTGTCGTACACGGGGAGTTCTTCTCCGTGATACGCCCAGTCCTGTCCCTCACCGTCTTGGCCGTCCTGGCCCTCTTGGCCTGCCAGGTAGGCTGTTCCGTCGTCGTCTTCGTCGGCGTCAGGGTACTCGAAGAGGTCTTCTACGGCCGAAAGGTACGTGTAAGCAGTCCGTTTCTGGGATCTCTTGCCGTATCCTTTACCTTTTCCTCGGTCTCCCTTCCTGGGAAAACCTTTTCCTTTGCCAGTTCCGCCCTTGGCGGATGGCTGCTTTCGTTCCAACGTATGGATACGACTATGCATGCGAATCAGCGATGCCTCAGCATCCTTCGTCGCTGTGCTGCCTGACATCGAGGTCAGCACCATGAGTCGCTCTTGCCGGGTGAGCCCGCTGTTATCCAGCAACAGATCTGTCAGCACCGCTTCACTTATGTGAAGGGCCTTGTCTAATTGCTGAAGCTTGCGTAGCCACCGCTTGCGGCGGTCGATGTAGGAGATCATCGGCTCTCCCGGCTGTCGTGACAACGTGCCGCCGACTTGGGTCCCTAACCGATAAAGTTCTTTCGTCTCTTGTTCCGCCAGAGGGAACAGGCGTTCTCTAACTGCCTCGATCACCTTGGGGGTGTTTTGACTCGAGAACAAAACGTCGGTACCCAAATCCTCTGCGACAATGTATGCCTCGCTCCTTAAGGAGTCGAGGAACTTGGACGCAAGGTCGGATCTCTCCTCAACCTTGGTCTGCTTCCACCTTGTCATAGCTCGGAACTCCCACTCGTGAAAGTCACGAACGGTTCCGGCATAGACTAGGAAGCCAAACTTCGTCAGGTCTGTGTCCAGATCCTGGTGTGGTCGATATGCCAGCGATCCACTAGCCATGGCGACCACACGCCCGCGCAGGGGGCGTACTATTGGGCTACGAGCTCTGGTTCTCTTAACCGAGAGCTCCGCTACCAGTGCGAAGACTAGTCACTTTTCCGCAAAGCCGTAGGCTTGATCCAAGGGGCCCCTGCGGTAGAGGGGAACGTCTGAGACTGTACAAAACGCTAGGTACACACACTGTACGCGCTGCAAAACAGGTTAGTTTCACAGATGTCATGTGATCCCGGAGCTGCCGGCGGCGAGGTGCCACGAGCAGTAACGGGAAGTCTGAAAGGCAGGGCGGTTGAGGGCGAGTCTTTGAGATGAGGACGATTACGGCTTGTTTAGTGCAGCTGCAGGTGCAACGATCGGTACGCGCTGGTGCGAGTGCAGCAGAGAGCGGTCTCGATTCTGACCACACGAAGTCAGTTGGTCCAGCTGGTGACGCTGCCACACACGCGGATCTCCACACACTGTGCTCCAAGTGGCCGGCAACACTGCCGGGGATTCCAGGCTGTAAGTTCAGTGCCAACAGACCCGTGTTTGTGGAGGGAATGGAATGGAACGGCATTAATGGGCTAGTGACTAGTGATGCGGCGAGTCAAGGAAACAGACAGCGAATGGAGTTGCGCTGGCCACTCATCCATGCACAAGGAGCAGCACAACAAACAAGATGAGGACAGGACTGACCGGCACCATCCCTGTGTCGGCCCGATGTTGCTGCAAAGTGCCTTGGCCTGTTTAATTTCTTCAAGCAGGTCAGGGGAAAAGTTGATGGCAGCAACTAACAACCGGTGACAAAGACCGGCGGCAATCGTTGACCGTGAACGCGAAGGCTATTCAAAACATTTGGCTGTTTTGGACGGTTGAGCTTTCGCAGATGCAGGCCCCACAACGGTGTTGACAAACCACAGGAGAGCACTGAAGCAATCCAGAACGGCAGGAGCACTGCTCGATTTCGCTCAAAGATCAGGATATCTCTCGAGTAACCCAAACTTCGACGTTCAGTCCCGTGAAGGTCAGGAGCAACTTCGGAACCGGCGCTGGGGGTAAAAAGGTTTCACGTGGCATGACGAAAGCACCATCCTGAACCCTTTCAACATTAACGATGCTGTGATCTCGACAAAAGCAGCTTGATGTCCAATGAAAGTACCGCTCGGTATGTCTACGACATAAAACTGACTGGCGGACAGTTTGTTCCCTAATCTGCGCCCGCTCTGCCGGCCGAGCTCGGCTCCTCTAACGCTTCTGAAAGTACCGTCGGCAGAGCAAAGGTAAGCAAAGGTGGGATAAGTGGATAACAACCAATCCTTGGCATCTAGTTCGGAAATGTTATTATGGAAGGGACAATGCGGCTTGACCTGCGACAGAAACACACGACCGATGGCATGGCTCTGGCTTGATGAAAGAAAACTGAAACGGTGTGCAAGGCAGGTGTGCGTGTGTGTGTGTGTGTGACTGCTTCTACTCATAACGATTTCAACATTGACTCCTTCCACACTCCTACACGCAGGAGGCTCGGACCAAAGCTGCCCTACGGTCCAATGCTACAAATTTAAGAAGGCACGTCAGCATGCATGTAATTATCTACGTTAACCGGCTGTCGACCTGATGAACACAAGGCAAGCGAGTGATCCAATCTGGAAGTCCAAAAGCAAGTTTAAACACACCTCTTTACTCGGGACCGCAACATAGTTTGCTCAAATTCCTCGTAAAGCTGAGAGCAGCGCGACCGCTGCATGTTGTAGTCGTGGCAAGCGGCTGCAACATTGCGGCCGACCAGGCGCACTTTCCTAGGTGTTTCTCGGTCTGCACTGTCGCACGATTCCAAGACACAGCAGTTGTGTCGCTCCCCTGTGCTCAACCTTGCACCTTCAAGCCTCCTCCAAGATCGATCTGACGCACGTCATCACTTCCATCCAAGCGTCGACAGAAACGTCGCGTCATCAGGCTCGAATCCCCGTTGGGGACCTACCGTGTACCTCCGGCACAGATATGCCCTTCTGGGGGGCACGTGGATCATAATGAATCGACCAACCCCATTGCATCACAATGCCAGCTGATCGCTGCTGAAGCACACCATGGCGACATTCTGGTCATGGTACGGCCGTGACTTCGTCTCGAAGATGTCCTCGCAACGTGGATGGAACTGTTCTTTACTTAGACAGCAAGTCCACATGACGCAAGCCCTCCGGTGTTTTGTGGTTTTTCTGAACGTGAAGTCTGGACATTTGCTGCTGCCAAGATCTCCAGAATCACGAGACCACCCCGGCCGGAGTCGCCCGCGACCTGCTCCGCCTGCGACACCGGAAGCGAGTCGTTATGACTGGCACACACCGCATGCGAATGCCGGGCCTCGGGAGGTGTCCTTCCTAGGTAGATGAAGGCAGCCTCCAAACCTCCACAAGCACGGTTACCGCTCATTGTCCTCTCGCCACTTCTCGCGAAACATTTGGGTCGGGGCATGGTGGCAACCGCAGCGAAGCAGGGGCTTGAACCAGGCCATGCCTGTCATGGACTGCGCAGCCGGCAAAATCCTTCTCGGATGTCTGACACAACCCTGCGAACAACTGAACTTCGTGTATAGAACTGCGCATGTTCTTCGGCCAATGTTGCCAAAGGGCGCCTTGCGGTGCCTGCTTGTGCAGCTACGCGAAGCAGAGCCTGCATCTATTTCGACAGTCTCTTCACACAGGTAAACACACATCCGTGCAAACACGCATTATCGGTCAGCTTGTGGCCCGAAGCCTGAATGCTCGAATGCCTGAAAAGTCTTGCCCCACCGAACAGCAACCACTCTTACTACTTGTTCTGCTTTCTCTTCTGGCTAGTCGTACGAGTCTTATTGTCCTGCTCCTGCTACTCTTGCCTTTCTCTCTCTTGCTGCCATCATTCTCGCAGTGCTCGTCACCCCTCTTACAGGTCTAAGTCTAAGCCCGGTGACGCCCGTCATCAAGGGTGTTGATGTCGATTTGCCTGCTTTCGGGCTCTTTCGACCGTCCGATTCCTGGTCTCATCTAAAGATTTTCTCAAGTCTACAAGCCCTTCTGCCCTTACGACATGTGCTACTCTACGAAAAGGGCGCAGTGACTACCCTGATTGCTCTCACGATTCTCGTGGCCCTTGTTGGTTTTGGTACCAGTAGCGTTGGTTAGTCCATTTGCTCTGACGGTACTCTTCCTTTCCTCCTTGTCTCAGAGCTCTTAGTCCCAGAACTTTGGTGTCTTCACTTGCTTTGCTTGTTTTCTTGCGCTGTACTGAGCCCTAATTGCTTCCCGTCCGTCGGGTGCTCAGCACAACACGGCAGGCCTCGTGTGCTGGACTGTAGCTGTCAGGGTCATGACCAGCCACCCGGCGAAGCTCCTCCACAGACACGCTCGACTGCATTGCACTCAGCTGCGACCCCAAACCCCGTCGAAGCAATCCTGTGCGAACTGCCCGTTGATTGTTCCGCCTCCTACCTCAGCAGGCAAACTGATGGCTGTGCAGCCGTGTATGTTGCAAACTGGGGAAAGCCCAGGATTTGCTGGCCTTCAACTTCTTCGGATTTCCAGCATTGACTGAGGCGAAGTTCTTTCCGCCGCTGGATGACTCGAAAATTGGAGTGAAGGATGCACCAGACGTCCTGGGCCAAACATCGAACCGGATCTGCAGCAGATATCGCAATTCAACATCTGCAACCCAGCTGCTTTGGATCTGGGCAGAAGCAAACCTGAGCTGGCATCCCAGACACCAAATTCCTTATCCCAGTTTTTCATCCGGAATTTCTAATCCAGGATTATCGCATACGTATGGGTGAAACGACCCAGTGAGCTTGACTAAAGCTCGCGGCCTCAGTAGCTCACATGAAGGCGACCTGTGGCCTCGTGAATGAAGGGCCTACTTGGGAACTACTTGTGGTGAAAATCTGCGAGAGTCGCACTGCAACTGCCAAGTGTATCTTTCTCGAACTCCATCAGCTGCTCGCAGAAACTGCGGTTTGGTCTTGCTTGGTGTCTCTTTGATCTCACCTCCTGAAAGGCCTCGCAAGACACTCCAGGTCCGCAGCACCAACCCCCCCACTGCACGAGATATCTTAAACAATGTGGCACAACAGCTCCTGCTTCAAGGGCATCTGGCGTCGTGCTACCAGCCATGCCAGAACCAAAGCCACGCTTCGCGATGCCCCGACCATACAATGGACCAAGACCTTGCCACCAGCAGCGACGACATCGTCGATGAAAGTCAAGGCTTCCTAACCGCCAAGTGAAGCAGGAATCCAACCAATATTGACTCTTTCAGCTTATTCGCTGATTTATAATACGAACCGCCTTGTAAGTTAAGTGTTGTCCTTGAGAGCCAACATGAAAAGACTCCTTGCTGAATGAAGCTTCCGGTATAAACTCTCGGATGTCAGAGCCTCGGTCTGCGACTCTCAAGATATCGTGCACGGACTTCACTGTGAAGGCAGTCTACCCAAAAAAAGCGATGAACACTCAGCTAGGCTCGCGGAAACACCAAAGCCAGGGGACTTTTTGTGTCCATTACAGCCACGGTCTTATACGTGATCCTGGATCCTCAGATAGGGCAGCGGAAATGTTGCTTCTGGGAAGAGACCCCGTTACTCCTAGTCGTCGAAACCGCACAAACTCGCAAATCAAGGCCGAGCTTCGAAACTTGCAGGGAACGCGCTCACAGCAGTTCAGAATGTGTGTGATGCCTATCTGCTGCAAACCGTCCAGGCTGCTCGCGGCCATCTGCCCCCCCAAAAAAAGCCACCCTTCCCGTATGTCGGAGGCATCTGCCACCGCCTGGCGAACCGCCAAAGGCGCACGGCCCTTCCTTCCGAGATCAGGCCATAGACGAAGATACGGGAAGCTACGGCCTCTCAACCATCACTCAAAGCTACGGCAAAAGGAGGGCCAGCCACCAGCCTGGGAGCTGCCGTCGCAGAGGGCGGCTCACTCGGCTCACTTTTTGCTTCCAGCAGGGGAGGGCCAAGATCCAACAGCACCGGCACTTCGGAGAGACCTGCATGGCACTCGGAGCTAGGAGCAAGCAGGCTGAACGTACCTGCGAATATAGAGCTGAAGGCACACAAATCGAAAAGGAAAACGATGCTGCTGGAAGCCGGAAATGCCTATGCCAAGCTCGCAAAGCTGCTGGTGGTCCATGTCATCATTGAAATCTGGGCAGTGGACCAGCTCAACTTGCAGCACTCGCGCACACTGCGCTTTGAACTCAGCAAGTGTCGTCGTGGAGGCTACACATAACTGGCAACTCTGGCTGCCGGCTGTCTCCTGCCATTCCAGATTCACCTCCACAACTGCTTCCTCTTCTCCGGGATAGCTTGCCATAGAAGATACACCACTTGCTAGCCGAAAGGGACTGCGACATCACATATCTTGTATGCTGTTACAGTCAGCACCGGGTCAGCACTGGGCGCAAGAGGGTTCAATATCGAACAAAACGGCCCCTGTCGCGCCGTCATATGTCGAGTAGTCGTGGAGCAGCAGCAGCAGCAGCAGCAGCAGCAGGAGGAGGAGGAGGAGGAGTAGTAGTAGTAGTAAGTGGTACTAGTACTTGCACTAGTACTAGTAGTATTGGTTGTTGCTAGAGTAGCAGCTCGTGTTGTTGTTGCTGTTAGAGACGAAAACTGGAGCCCATTAGGTTTACTAAACAGAAGAGGCACGGACCGCGCCCGAAGTTGTGTGGGTTGCGAGGGCATGGAACAACAACACACGGGGCACCAAAATTTGGCTTTTCTACCGGACTAAAAACAACAACATCGTTTCCGGGAAGAGGGGGATCAGAACTTCAGACGGGGCTCCAGAGTTTGTTCCTTCACAGTTACCCGAGCCGAATCCTTCTTGAGAAACTGACTTGGGAGGGCGTGGTTGTCGTTATCGTTGTTGTTGTTGTTGGTGGTGGTGGTGCTCGTGGTGTTGCTGTTGTTGTTGTTGCTGTTGCTGTTGCTGTTGCTGTTGCTGTTGCCATTGCTGTTTGCTGTTTGCTGTTTGGTGCTTGGTGCTTGGTGCTTGGTTCTAGGTGTTTGGTGCTTGGTGCTTGGTGCTTGCCTGTTGCATGTTGAATGTCATTTGTTGCTTGCAGTTTGCTGTGTGTTCTGGTTGTTTGTGGTTTGTAGCTTGTCATATGTTGTTTGTTGCTTGTTGTTTGCTGTTTGTTGTGTGTTGCTTGTTGTTTGCTGTTTTGTGATTCTTGTTTGTTGCTTGTCGTCTGCATGTCTATAAACGACTTGGTAACATTCACCATGTGTAAATGTATATGTTTCTATGTGTGTGTGTATACATACATGTGTGTGTGCGCGAGTGTTTATGTATGCACATATGCATTTATGTATGCACAGGTGTATATGTGGGTACTTATGTGCATGCAGAATGTATATATATATATATATATATATACCTATACACCCACACATACATGTACGGATCGAAATTATACAATGCTTGGTGTTGTTGTTCTTTGCGACGTTTTGCGTGTCCTGTCCCAGGGCCTCTGCTACTATGGCCAGGTGGATATTGTCCTTTAAACTCACGTTAGTCACACGTTTCTTCACATCCCCCGCATCCGTTTATTTAACAGCACATGGTGTCCTCTCGTCCCATTATCTACACAGGATGCTCGCCGCACGAGCCCAATTCATAAGTTGCTCAAGCCGAAGCTGTAAATTCCAGCGATTGCGATTCTTCAGAAGCTTGAAGCGATGTGGAAATGTTGTCACTTACAGAATCTCCGCATATTCACCCGCGAATATGCTTCCTCTGCTCATTTTTACCATATATCTTAAACACACCTTCTTACACCTGGACTATGCATATGGCATATGCCAGGAAGCGAGGCGCTGAGTGTGCTGTAGATTCGCGCCACACGGCTACCCCCGATTGAAAAAAATGAAACACGCCTTCATTTGGCGACTCTGGGTCATCATATCTCTTAAACACGACCCCTGAGTTGGCGATTCCGGTTCAACATGTCCTCAACACGCCCTCTCTTTTGGCGATTCATCATATTTGTCTTCATCAGGCCGATGCTTCGTGCATCTGAAACACGCCCCCTCATTTGGCGATTCCGGCTCATCATGTATCTTAAGCACGCCCGGTCATTTGGCGATCCCAGGTCATCACGGTTCATCACATATCTTAATCGGGCCCCCTTTTTTGCATCAGGACTTGTGCAATCGCCTGAACACCGACTTCCACAATGCAAAGAATTTGCAGGGCCCCCTCATTTGGCGATTCCGAATCTTCATGTATCTTAAACATGCCAACTAATTGGGCGACAGTGTCATCAGACATCTTAAACACGCCCCCTCATTTGGCGACTCCGGTTCATCATACGTCTTAAACGCGCCACCACATTTTGTGATTCCGGTTCACGATATTTTTTAAACGCGCCCCCTCATTTGGCGATTCCGGGTCGTCACAAATCTGGTGGTGCTGGCAGAGGCAGTGGCGGTGGCCATGGCGGTGGCAGCGGTGCTGGCGGTGCCGGCGGTCCTGGCCGTGCTTGGCCAGTGCTTGGCCAGTGCTGGCGGTGCTGGCGGTGTTGCTGGTGCTGCTGGTGCTGCTGGTGCTGCCAGCAGAAACAGCAGCAGCAGTGCAGCAGAAGGTTTTGGAGGAGGCGGAGGAGGAGCAGCGGCAGCAAGTGGCAAATCGTCTTCGTCGCCGCAGCCGGCGGCAAGATCGTTGTGCTGGTTCCGCTTGGTGAGGCTACCGTGTCAACTGAGAAAGGACAGCCCAGAATCCCAAACTTTCCCAACTTAAGCCGTGGAGCTTTGGCCTGGGCAAGCCGCTCCAAATCGGGTGGGTCCTGGAGGCTGACGGCATCCTTGGAAACCAGCGACACAAGGCACAAGGGGAATTCTGCAAGCCTCCTAGAAATTGGCAAAGGCACCCGAAGGCACCTGTGCTGAGCGACGCACTGCAGCTTTTGGGGCCAGGGGCCTCGCCGTCAATAAACCTTATCTACCGTTCTATTGCTATAGCATCTCTGAAATGGAAAGGTGCCGAAGCATTCACTTGGTTCAATTGAACTACCTCGCCAGGCCCAACAGGTGCCAAAAGGATCACAATAAACTTCCTGTCACAAAAAAATGAATATCGGCGTTAAGAATGACTCCTGGCTATTGCACTCACACTTCGCTCAGGTTCCAACTTGCACTGCATGTTCCAGTAGTGCTGAATCTCCTGCACATAAACCGGTCCATCCATTGGCCAATTACACGGATAAGCTGCTGCGAATGGTAATGCTCCAGTTCTCTAGTGCACTGCAGTCGGTCTGTATCGGTGCCTTTGGTCGGCTGTATACCCGGTTGAGTGCATAAGTTATGCGACGCAGCCGCCCTAATGTACCGTACAGGTCCTGTTTGCTGTACTGCTTGGCATAGTATCTGCTCAAATCCTCCAAGCAAAGCTCGACTCCGGAGCGCTGGGGCACACCATAGTCTGGCACTTTGGTCGGAGTCCCACATGTCTCTGAGCAAACGGCTTGGAATGTGTAGGATCCACCATCCGCCGGATCCACGCGCCGTTCCATTCGCTCGAGTCTTTCTTTATTCGTGGAAGGATGCAATGGTAGGAAGCCACGGAACTTGCACGGATGTACAGCGAAGCTACTAAGGAAGAGACGTTGCCTTGCCGCAGTAACCACTTGCGCTCTGAGTGCCGAAATCGTCTGAATTTGGAGCTTGAGACTTGTGAGAGAGTGAGGGCAAGCATTGTCAAATGTCTCTGCAGTGACTCATGCTCCCATGATTGCCGTCATCTGGGGCGCCAGCAGACAGACGCACGGATTCCTTGAGCTGTTCTCGGTGGGCAATGGCCTGCGAGTGTGCTCAGCAGTTCGAGGATCGATGGCCTGCAGTCTTCTGCAACTCACAGTTCTCGAAAGGTCGCGCTCTGCATGCTTTTTCTCCGGCATCACAGCTCTGAGTGAGCTGAGTGAGCTGGTCGTTTCTGGGGAGGCTTTGCTCCGGCCATCGATTTCCGCAGCTTCACCTCGTCCGCACAGGCCTCAAACACATCCCTTCGCTAAGTCGTGAGCGGCAAAGTCTATGCAAGCAAGCCCTTGACGCCAGGGAAAGCCAAACACCACCACCCATGGCCATGCTTAAGTCTCGATGGTTCTTCCCTGCCATCGGCACATAGTCAAGGCACCCGTGTCTGTGAACAGGCCGCTCTTCCAGCTCTGTTCAGCATCATGAGCAGTTGCCTCTGGTCTGCAGATGGCCACTGCAGTAACAAAGCTCTCTGGACTTCTTCCAGCATCAACATTGGCCAGAGTAAGTGGGTTTCTAAACCAGACAAGCCAAGCAACGCATCCGAGGCACCACTGCGCCGCGCGCCTGCGACTATTATAGCAGACAGATGCGACACTGTTGGTCCAGGGGCGAGACTTTTCATCGGCCCTCCTTCGTAGGCACGAGCCACGGCATCTGCAATAAAGTCCATATCATCGAAAGCTTTCTGGCAAGCATTCTGTACCATATAGGACTTGTAGTGGAACTTCTCGCTGTGCAGTATCTCCTTTGCCATGCTAAACGTGCTCTCAGACAGTCCCAAGCCACCCCACACGTGAAAGGAAACTGTTGCAGAGCTGAGACGCCGGGTAGAATAGCTCTTGGGTGACGACGGCCTGCGTTCCAAGAATGGTCGCTGCTGCCACTGTTGACGGCCATGTCAGCTGCTCTCTGCATTTGGGTGCGACCACGGCCACGAGTTCCGGCCTTCTTTAGGGATGCCGAACCATCATCGTGGAGGTCGATGTCCAACCGCTGCCCGAGCAGTAGTGCCCTAGATCTCTCAGCAATAAGCCCAATTTAACATCTTCAAACGCATTGCCGACACGATTGACACGAGTGTCCGCCGAGCTTCGACAGGTCTTTCATGTCACCTGAGCGGCCAGAATCTGCTGTGACTGCTTGAGGTGCTGTGACTCGCCAGCTTAAAACCCCCTTGGTTCTGGTCAGCAAAGAAGCACAGCTGCCTGGCACTTCCCATTCCTTCAGACAGTTTTTCTGCCCAATCCTCGTCCACGGAATAAGCTTTCCTTAGCAGCCTACTCGTACACTCGTACGATGGGCGTGGGCACAAGCTCCGAAAAATGAAACACTGTCAAGGCATCAGCCTCAGACGGCAAGGCGCTCGATTTCACTGCGGAAGATTGCCAGCAACGACGTTACCTGTATGCTATGAATGCATGTTCGTGTGTCTGGCAACAAACTTCGCCAGACTGAGTGCGTAGCTCTTTCCTCACATACACGGCAAGCCAAGAACCTGCAGCATGTTTGAGCGCAGCGGACAGATGTTCTATGCAGCAAGACATTTACAGCTGATACAGCAATCGACTTCGGTCAAAGCTCTCGCATCGAATAAACTGTTGCAGTCCTACCCCTGCATGCGTAACAGTCCGTCCTGGCTGTCCGTCTCGCCACGTCAGTCAGTTCCTGTGTCTGCGGCACCAGGCCGTCGGGAAGGAAACTCGTGGTGGATGGTAAAGAGCCGGCAGCCAGGAAGCCGCAAAGAAAAAGCCATTCAAGCACTCGCATGAAGGTAGAATGAATGCGGCTGCTTTTTGTGGGACCCGTATTGAACTTATCGAACGATCAGAACCCAACTTCTGCAACAGTTACCTCTACTGCTTGCTCGCGATTCTTCTCTGCCGGAATCTCTCATTGGCAAATGAACAACCATATACCTGAAAAGCCAATCGGACAGGTCCTCAGAAATCAAGCGAAAGCCGAAAGCCCCTCTCAAGCCAACCCCAGCGACCTAGCTTGGCATGGCGTTTTGTCGCACCTCACTCCGCAAGCTCTGCTTCCGAGGAATGCTGTGCAAAAAACTACAAATTCAACCACTCGTCACCCGTCTTATTTTGGGATGTCGAGCCAAGCATAATGCAGTTGGACGATCAGCGTCACAAACACGCTTCACTCTTGGAAGCAGCATAAACCAGTCTATTTTGGGTTCGGATAATATCAGATGTTCTTACGGTGCCACCAGAAGGACACAGAAAATGTGTCACTACGTCTCAACTCAGATGGAAACCCCTTCGCACATGGAATCAGGCGTCGCTGGGCAAGACGTCACAACTTTTGCAGACGGCTTGTGAGTCCCAATGCCCATGTGTAGTCTACACTACAGGAAAATCGCCCAAGCCAGATCACTTGGACTGTGCTCTGTCCTTCGACTGCCAGCAAGCTACACATGTGTAAGGGTTGCTTGGCTGGAGACAAGCAAGAAGCGGCACGGAAATCCTCATTGGTTGGCATGAAGCGCGGTGTTCGACTCGGCGCATTTCCCTGAGAACGCACTGAACCCAAATATCCGTGAAGTCGGAAGCGACTGTTCTGACCGTCGATTGGCACCTCCCAGCGCTGCTCGAGCAGCGACCGCAGCCTTTTCTTCAGCTCGCGATTCACGGCCTTGTAGTACTGGTTGTCGCCTCAGCTGCTACAGGCGATGGCTGCAGTCCTGGAGCTTCTGGTGGCTTGTGAGCAGCTTAAGCATCTGGCGCTTCACTTGCTCCACCTTCCGAGCACTTGCGCGATTGTTTGAAGGGAACATGCTGGGCATACGTCTCAAACAACGCCAGAACAGATTCTGCCTGTCTCCTCTATACAGTACACGGCTGCATTCCAAGCATTGAAAATCGGAAACACTACGCGGGTGAAACTACAAACAAATCATGCTGCTGAGCCTATGCGCACTACCGGTGACAGCGCCTTGGGCGAAATTGCTACTTTTCTGGGAGGCTTCAGGGAACCAGCTCCTTTCATATTCAGCAGCAAATCGACCTTTGTCTGCATCTTCTGCATCTCACGCTCAATCTTGTTCAGATCAAAGCTGCGGGCATATCCTTTCATGCGCATGATGCCCGCCTCAAACTCTTCAAGTGAAATCTCACCATCACCATCGTCGAGCATCTGGAAGAGGCCAACTAGATCGGTTGTCTCGATTTCAAGCTGTCCCATCCAGACTTGAAGCTTGGGATTCTCCAATAGGAAGCCAAACTCTTCGATGTCGATCTTGCCATCGCCAGAAGAATCCACTTGCTTGAAAAGGTTCGTCAATCTCTTGCGGTATGCATCCTGTTGTCTTTGCTTCTCTGCCGCCAAAAACTCATCGTCTGCCTGGGCTACCTTCATGGTACTCTGCACGAAGACCGCATTGACAACGTTCCTGAGATCCCGAAAACACGTGACAGCGGTGATGGCTCAAAATCAAACTGAGACTCGTACAACGTATTGAACCTCAGGAATGCCCAAAGCATAAAGCCAGGGTTTAAACAACAAGTCACTACCTGATAGTACTTTTGGCTCCCACTTGTCGGACTCGCTCGGATTCCGCGCTGCAGGTGACGCGTTGAGTTCGGGACACCAGACGATCTCTTACCAACCACACAATGCACCCATCCAAAACATCCAACCACTACATAGCCAATCGAGTCGAGATCATCCAGCAAAGTTGGGTACGGCTACAGCTGCCTACCCCAGGTACCAGACATCGGAAAGGCATAAGGCATGATCAGGTACTAGTAACAGTAGTAGTGGTAGAATCTGCAGGTGACGGAAGCAGAATCAAACAAGGTTATGCCAGGACCTGACAGCATTAGTGGAAGTACGACTAGCACCACAGAAATCGGAAATTCTGGTATCCAGGATCATAACCCTCAGCTTACCATTAGATGCCGCAAACTCCTGACGAGCTACTGTAACTGTATCTTCCGCATTGGCTTCATCATTTCCGCGTTCTCGTTTTTTCCTTTCTTTCTGCAGAAGTTCTCACTCTCTCCCTGATTGCCTTGCTCTGCTGCCTCTTCCTCCTGTTAATCCTCCGGCCCAGAAGAAGATCTGATAAGCAGTCCCTACGCTACGGACATGGCTGGGGGGTGGCAGGGTGGGCTGCAGGCGTGCGGGAAGCGAAGACGCGTGCCATATTAAACGTCCAAGATGCAGAACGGCAAAGCCCACAAAGCACCGGTAAATGATGAAAACTGTGGAATACCACTCGCTGACATTGTCCATGAGCACTCGACATGCAGGTGCCCAATTGGCAAACAACACTTCAAACATAGTCAGCAGTGTCTTGGAAAACGTTCCATAATACCGAAAAACCGCAAACTTCTTGTCCTCGTCCACAGCAGGGTCTACCATGAAATCACTGACCATGTACGAGATAGTCATCCCTGCACTGCACTGAATAATCATCAGCAGGACCAAGGACCAGAAGAGAATCCGGACGCTAGCGGCGATGCATTTGAGCAGTAGCTGCAATGACTCCAGAACCTGCGACATCTTCACCACACGTAAGGCTCTCAGGAGCTTCCCCAGGCGCAGCATGCGCAGAAACGTGGGGCTGATGGG